CACATGTCTGGTTACCTTACATAAGCTCCACATATCTTCACTCTAATCAGCCAGAAAACATAAAGACACCTACACAGGTGTAAATAATAACATGATTGATGGCTGAAAAGGATTTGCTGTCAGTGTGATGGCTGATTTGAACATTTGAATTGAACAGAGCCATCGTTAATGTGATGAGTAACACCTGTGCTTTTCCTACGATGACAAGTCAACTCGTCTTCTATGAAAAATAGTTTCGAACAAAAGATCCCTCGTGTATATAGATTTTATAAGAAATTATTCAATTTGCTTTTAGTCACTCAAAAACGAATTGTATCAATATTCTCTAGTACTGTTTACTACTGTTAGCCATGGCAAAGTTAATCCTTAAACCTTTCTGTTCACACAAGTAATTATTCTCTAGTTAAATATTGTATTTCTGACTTTTCTATTACTTTCGGACACTAAATAGCCGTCCTGCCACCGTCTATCTGTGTCCCTTGTGTTCAGGTTTGAATTACCTCTTTAGTTTGTAACTATGGTCACCTGTTTTGTTTGTCAGAGTGAGGTTATGGTGCACAACAAGCCTTCTCTCATTGGCTCTTGCACATAATGACGCAATAGTCTTGGGAACATGCGTGGGGGATTACAGAGTACATCTCAAGAGTACATCTCAAGACGTAACTCTGTATGTTATGTACTGTATGTGCACAAATCAACCACAACAGGAACATCGTGGTTGAACAGGCGTAACCACTGCTGCCGTTTACCCCGCTCACTCATATGATGTACGTGATGTTGAACAGTGTTGACCAAGCAGTCATGTGTACTCGGTTAGTCCTGCTAGACGGGTTTGTTAAACACAAGTCTGACGGCAAAATATGACCATCATAAAGTAACTCTGAAGCTGTATTCACTTGCATTCATATCCAAGGTCTTCTCAGCCAGATAATAGAGGCAGACTCTTTCAATAACAGCACATACTGCTCCTCAGCTTTGCAAGCTTATATTGCGCAATACCCATAAAGGAAAGGAAAGTACTAAGGTCAATTCAAGGTTTATACATTATCTTCAACTACTGTAGACAACAGGCCCTCAGAAAAGTAAGTATGTATATTCATATGCTGTATGAAAAATCTCTTATCGATCCTCAAAGGGACTCAGACATGTACCTCCTTAACCAAAACATAAAGGAAAACTTATGTCAATATCTTTAATGTTTTTCTGTATCCTGCCACGCTTGAGCAAGACACCACAATATCAACGTTGCTGCGCCTTCAAATAAATATACAGAATTAACATCCTCAAAAACAGACCACACTCCACTTGGAAGAGGAACTAATCGAACCGTCTGCGTGATAAAGGCAAACCATACGGCAAGTCATGTGGAAACCTGAACTTCATAAAGAGCAACTGAAAGTGAGATGCACTGGGAGTTACTGAGTTGTCTTGTAAAAAGCAATAATGCATTACCATAGGATAAGTACTGCCTGCTTTCATCATCAACAAAGCCAACTTTACAGAACCTGTTACAGAACATGTCATTTACTGGCAGGAAACGTACAGAAGTAAAAGTAAAAATGTGGTCCCGAGCATTCCAACGATTTCATAAAGATGACAGAGAAACTAGAGCCAACCAATGTCTTACACCTAATAAAATATTTAAGAGTGTACACTTGAGCCAACCTTTAACCTTGGGCTAAGGTGTGAGTTTAGCTAAGACTAACTAAGCATTTCAAAATGGCTCTTAAATCTTAGTGTGGCTTTTTCTGGACTGCTGGAAATAACCATGAACCTGACATCAAGAGAATAAAAGATGGACTAAAGTAGATACGTTCACTTCCTTGTTGCCATAAATTACATCTTGATAATAACTGAGAATAAAACATATAATCACTATACTTAGAGCGTAACAGATGTTTTGTCAGAGTTAAAAACCCAAGGGCATATATGATTGGAGTAGAAAACAGCAAGTAAATATTCACCTTTGTTACCACTAGGGCTGGGCCATATGGAAAAAATAAATATTACAATACTTTTGATGAAATACCTATCGATATAGCAATGATAATGAAGGGTTGACTATTGATTTTTTTATTAAAACAAAATCTGAAATGTGGCCATAATGACCAAATGGGAAAAGGCAAGTTATAAAACCAACTGGTAAGTTCAGAAAATTACATAACTTTACTGTAATACAGCCTTTAAAACCAGTAAAAGACACCAATATGACGACATCCAAAACCTAAGATGTTCAAGCATTTCAGCACTAGGTTACAGACAAGAGGCTTCATTAGGACTTGTAACGTGTGTGAACATGTATTCAATTTTCAGAGCCGTTTCATTTTGAATACGTGTCATTCGTAAACAAACTGACCATAGCCCTGACCAATAAAAGACCAAATGAAATACCTGTTCTCCTTTCAAAGTTCTTGTTGTTGATGATGATGCACTGGCCGATGCAGGGGAAGTTCAGACTGTATCTGAAGCTCTGGGCGCTGGGCTTGGCGTCCACATCCATGGAGGCAGAAGCAGACAAAGACGACCCAGAACTGAAGGAAAACAAAACCAGAACACACATCTTTACTTTAACTGGAAGATAACAACACACTATAATTAATGCACGACAAAGAAAGAGCCATGAGGGCATTTAAAGAGTGAGTCACAGGCCTGCATGAGTGAAGTGACTCACAATAATATAACACCATGCTGAAACAGCTGCAGACTTACAAACAACAGCTAATACGTTATAAACAGCGGGTGAATTGATGCTAATTAGTAGCCTGTAAGGATGCTATATAGCGGTAGTATATGTTATCGAAGGAGAGCAGCTTCCTCATCACTGCCTGCTTGTAGAGGACAACAATGAGCTTAAATAGATACAAATCTAAAAAGCTACTAATAACTAAACCGTGACTTACTGTTGTCCATCGACACTCTTTGCGTCTGTGGAGTCTTCTCCAGGTCCAGTTCCGTTACCCGACATGTTTCTGATTCAGAATATTAACCACACAGTGAAATAACACACCCTGTATGATGTACAGTGAACCCGGCAGACAGCTAATGCTAATGCTAATGCTAACGCTAAGTTCAGGCTGTAAACAAAGATGCTGATGTCATGGAGAGGCGCACTCGTTTTACACCCCCACGCCTGCCGTGTGAGGGGGCGGGCCGTGTAGTGTCGTGTACTTGCCGCGGTCGCTGCTAGACCATATTGGAATTTGATGAAGAGAACCGCTCCTTGTCTCCGAACACGGTCAGTGTATGTTTTGGTCATTGGATTTTCTTTTCACAAATGGAAATTCAAAAACAAAAAACGACTGGATATTTGATTTTCGTTTTCAAATTGAAAAACCAAAATTGAAATACAAGGCGTTTTTCTTTATCACGGTCAAAAAGGGATTTACTAAACTTAAAAAACGGGATGATTTTCATTTTCTACTTCTCAAAACAAAAAATAAAATCACTAGAAAACAGAAACAAAAAAAAAACCCGTTTTTTCATATTCTGCTACCGGAAGTTACCTTACAAAATAAGAGCGCAGACGAAACTCACGGAAGTGATTTCAAAACAAAAGCACTCGTAGGCTATGCTAAAATCACACTTTGAATCACTACAGTATCCTGTTGAAGGAACTGTGATTATTATAAACAAGGGGAATTTAGCGATCACAATGAAAACGGCCAAGACTCACTTTGAGCCCAGAAAATGAATGTTATAAAGGGCTGTAAATATAATAGGCCTATTTCTAAAATGGACAACATTGTTAGGAGATTTCAACTATACAGCGATTCTGCACTGCGGTCAACTCAGCCGTCTGGGTGACCAGATGTCCCGCTTTGTGCGGTATTGCACAGCATTTTCACGACTTTTGGTGCGTTCCGCAAATTGAGACGATGTTCCGCATATTTCATTTTGATTGGCTAAAACGCTTTTCTAAAATCTGATTTATGACATGAATCAGATGCGGAGAAAGGCCGGCTCGGTTCGCTGATGGCCGGCACCGCCCTTTATTATTATATGTTTTAAACTTTATATATACAGTCTATGGTTTTAAACGGCATCATGTAAGTTGCGCTGACAGCGACAGAGGTTCACAGTGTACCACCCCCCCCCCCCGCTGACAGTTCACGAGCGTCCATAGTGTCTCTCCACCCCCCGTTGACAGTTCACGAGCGTCCATAGTGTCTCTCCACCCCCCGTTGACAGTTCACGCGTCGACATTGCATTTACATGTCCCACGGGCCACATTGTCCCACACAAACATACTCTAGAGCAGAAGTGGCTTGATTTTGTTCTCAGCATGGGACTTTGACAGAGGATTTCTCAAAAAGTAAAGAGTAAAATTACTTAAATGTATTGTAGTAGTAGGCTTACTAATACAGAGTCAAACAGTATCAATTTCATTAAGAACTAATGGTAAAATTGTCTTTTTATCACTCATCAAAGATAGCAGATAAACATACATTATGTAGGCTACTATGGAGGGGACTCTGACAGAGGATTACTCAAAAAGTACACAGTAAAAGTACTTCATTTCATTTCGGGTAGCAGTCAAACTAGTACAGAGTCCAACTGTGTCAGTTTTATTTAGAACTTTTGGTAAAAAACTCTAGAGTATGTTTGTGCCACAAGTGGTGCAGAGCTCTGTCCCACTTGTGGCTTTCTGGCACCATGGTCACCTCAGCCGTCTCTCGAGTTTGATTTTTCAAATCAGCTGCTCTTCATTTTTTTTCCTGCTATATTCAATGAGTGATACAAATATTTTTGTCCACAAGTTCTTAATAAAACTGACACTGTTGGACTCTGTACTAATTTGACTGCTACTGTTACACCACTCAGACCGCAAGGGTATTATAGGTGTAGAAAACGTTCATTTATTAACTTCCACAAGGCACATGTGCAAGATGTCAGCATCTCAAACGATCTCAAAGCACAACACACAGACACACTTCTTCTGTTCATCTCCAGCATAAAACAATGATGAACCATCAGGTGATCTGCCCCCTTGTGGTATAAACATGCATGTGCAGGTAGACAACCTCAACCTTATGGGTGCTACACTACCAGAAATGAAATGAAGTACTTTGACTGTGTACTTTGTGAGTAATCCTCTGTCAGAGTCCCCTCCATAGTAGCCTATCCAGGCCAGTCTCTAAAGAAGTTCCAAGGTGTGAAAATGCTGCTGCCGGACTACTGACTGGAAGTATTGCTGATATCATGTCCACCATCCTCTTAAAATACTCTGTCCAACAATATCAGTCTCAGGAAGAAAGGTGTTTTAACGCTTATTAAAAGAAAAACATGCATTCTTGTTCTCAGGAGGGGACATTGACAGAGGATTACTGGAAAAGTACACAGTAAGTACTTCATAGTACTTGTGGGGGTAGTTTCAGTAGTACTGAGTCCAACAGGATCAATCTCACGAAGAACTAATTGGCAACAAAAAATAATTCCCTCATCAAACTTAGCAGAAGTGGCTTGATTTTGTTCTCAGCAGGGGACTTTGACAGAGGATTTCTCAAAAAGTACACAGTAAAATTACTTCAATGTATTGTTAGTAGTAATATCCTTCAGCAAAGTAACACACTCTGTCACTCTGGTTGCCCTCTTATGATGCTGCTGTCTTTTAATATATAACTATTTCTCAGCCGCTAGTTCGTTCCTCGCAGATTCTTCAGTCTCATCAGCCTCATCCTTCCATCAGTCCCAGTCAACGCCTCCAGCACACTTCCAGTGTCTGACTCCATATGATATTGTCCTGATGCTGTAAGGGTGATGCCCCATGATCACAAAATGTGTGCCAAGGACCTCATATTATGTCCGTCATTAATGTTACATCACCCATTATAACAGTTCTCTTTCATTTTTTCTCTTGTCTTAACTGAATAGCCCTGTCTTTAAGTATAATACAATGTAAAGTCCTTTTCCTGCACCATTTTAAGGCTTCAAAAACAGCCATTTTTACTGTATGTGTTTGGAGAAATGACACAATCAATGGCCCAGAATTGTACTTTATAAACTATGAATCTTGTGGTGCTTGAAAAAATACACACTGGCTAAGCCGGCCAGGATATATGCCTTTTTTGGAGCCCTTTTTTGCAATATTTATTAAAATGTCACTTTAAACAAACCCCTATCTGAGGATAAGACAAGCAACCATAAAACGCCCTTTATCTAGAGAGCCATTGAAGCCCATGAAGAATGTATCCTTCCACAAATCTTTTCATCTGCTGTAATAATAATAAAGCTGCCACGTGTTTTCAAATTCAAGTTAAGGCACTATCTGTGCAGAACATTACAAATATTCTTAATTTGCAGTATTTTATTTGAAAAGTGTTCAGAAAGACTGCATCAAATATGCTATATCTATATATATCTATATAATATCAATATTGTTATTAACTTCAATCAAAGTCAATTTAAATAGCGGGCAAGACTTTCCAAGGGGTAAAAATGCTGCTGCCGGACTTCTGACTGGAAGTATTGCTGATATCATGTCTACCATATCCTCTTAAAATACTCTGTCTGAGTGAGAGCATGTGAGGAGCAGGGATGCTAGTACTTACGTGTGTAGTATACCATGTCTCAACGACTTACAAAGTCAGGCTTTCAAAAGAGAAAAGAAAGGAGAGAAAGACAAGAGAGAGGGACTAAAGGGCGACAGTATGTCACCCAGTTTTTCAAAAGAAAAGGTGGGTGTGGTCCATGAGTGGTGGAAATGTGTCTGTTAGCTAAGCGTAGTCCATTGTAAATAATAATTGTTATGTTTTTTTTTTTTTACTAAGCTGACATTAAGTACTGTTAATATATATACAGGTTTTTAATTTCACTGCTCTTTTAGCTGACATTTAATAAATGCAGGTACATTTTTAGCAGCTATTCATACTAAATCAGTTGTCCCTCCCCCTGGTGCCAGGACCAACAGATCCATCTTTAGGCTCAGCAGCCCTGACCTGAACCAGCTTTTCTCCCAACTGAAGGAGGTGAGCAGCATTGTGTAAAATGCCATGCCACTTAACATATCTGAAGGGAGACTGGAATACAAAATATATATATCAAAACAAAAAGCTAACATCTAATTTCAATTACACATTTCAAACACAGTATTTTTCCACATATTTAAGTTATATTTATTTGGATTTATGCATTCATGTTGAGAATGTTCCATTCAAAAATGTTATTATTAAAAAGGCATTTACACCATAAAAGATGACTATTGAGATCTATTGTCAGGAATGTTGTCTTATATCAAATAGTGAATTATACTGCAGCAGAATGTTGCACGTCTGCACAGTGTTATATTTTCACAGCTCAGTGTCAGTAAATATTGTGCGGTTAGTATTGGACTACAAGATAGATGCAAGCCTGTACAGGTAGAGTTACTTAAAGCATAAATGAGTAGGTTGGGTTCTGGAGGTGTGGTTACAGCAATTGTGCTTGGTTGGCGTGGCCTGTGCCTGGTGGTGGGGCCCAATGTGATATATTTTCATGGGGCCCAAAATCCCTGGCGTGGATGACCAGAGGGCAGGACCTATAAACAGCATTGTGAGGCTGAACAAAAGGACCGTTTGACTATGTAAATGTAGTCTTTTAACAAAACAAAACATTTACTGACTTTTTTAGGATAGCTTAAAGTAATGTTGTAAAATTACAACCGGGGGCCTTACAGGGTTAAGGGCTATTGTTTATTGTTATTTACTTTAAGATGTTTATTCTTAACCAATCATTTAATTAAAAAACTCTTATTTAAATGATGTGTGTGTGTCTCTGTATTCCTGATGATACACTGAGAGAATGAGCTCATAGTGCTGCTGATCACCATAAGCTAAACAGTCTGTATATTGCATTACATTTGTATAATGTAAGCTTCGTTGATACTTTGCCTGCGGGAATACGAAAAAAATAGTTAGATATACTGAATATTATTTGATCTATTCCACCACTTAATCCCAAATAATGTAGAGGTGTGTTGTAGGTGCCTTAAATGTGTGTGTGTTAAATAAGTGCCTTATTTTATAGTGAGATGTATTTTTATGTTCATATAATAGTGATTTCAATGCCACCCCAAAATGATCAGAATGATGCCGTGTTACCCTGCTTCCCCAGCTCCAGAGAAAACCTCCAAAATAAACTGTTTGACTGGAAGAAGGTCGGTCACGGAGGAAAAACTCTGCACGAAGTCTTCATGTACGATTCTGCTGTTTATTATGATCGTCATTCAGGTCAGAGTGAGCAGTTCAAAGGACGAGTCTCTCATTTCCAAAATGAACTGAAGCACGGAAACGCCTCCATCGTCATCAGAGATACGAATGTGATCGACAGTGGAAGTTACATCTGCGTTTTTCCCCGTCTACAGCCAGATCAAACATTCCACATTGAGCTTGTTGTTGTTGGTGAGTACTTTAATAATACAGGTAAACAATACCATCACTCCTAAAACAGCCTTTATACAGCCTATACTACTGTATAAGTTTATCAAAAAGCCTATAGCAGCATAACTATAACTTTATCAAAGAGGAAAGTATTAAGCCTACTCCCAAAAGTGAAGTGGACTTTAATTTCCTCTAGTAGATTGGGAACAGAAGTGTTATGGCACAGTGGCTTTATTCAGAGTTTCCCCCTTGGGGTTTAATACAATTTGATCTTGATCTTTATCCCATACTGACTCTCAGCCTCTGTTACCTGTATGAGGTGTTCAGCATGCTGATTACATCAAGCAGTCAAACAGTAAAATGTTTATTTCCCATTAGGTTGTGACCCATGCTTGAAATTGGAGAACAAACACGGGAAAACTGCTGGTGAGTCCTGATTATCTGTCTCTGATATGTGTGTGCTAAACCTTTGTCGCTGCACTTACAGTTTATTTCGATGTATAATTAATCCCAGTGCCACTGACTGGTCACAAAATGCTGATATAACCTTTAATTGTATAAAGTTAGTTATATTGGGGGTTGTTTATCCCTAAAACAAAGGACCAGGACAGGTAGTGTGACAAAGATTTTTTGAATGATGGAATGTCAGAAATGGATTTAGCACCTTCAATAACCCCCAAAAGCACTCCAGAAAAGTCTAAATCAGCCAAGCCACACTATTGTCTGCATAGGCTGTAATGCTAATCAATGCTAATTAACGCATTTTATACTAATTGTTCAAATTCCCAGACTTATACAGGTTAGCATCCGGCAGTTTCTATGTGCTGGGGACCCGTACTATACATTTCTAACATAAAACTTTGGGGTTCACAACATTTCAGGGTTCACTAAGCTTGCAACTAGACTAATAGCCACATCAATCCTTAAAGACTGAACAAGTCTAGTGCTGACTCATGTTATTTTTAATGTATTTTTTATTCTGTGTTCACAGGTGCCGCTCCAGAGCCTCGCACCTCGATAGTTGACATCACGGAGTTGGGCGTGCTGCTGAAATGTGACGTTCGAGGTGCTTTTCCACAACCTAAAGTAGAGTGGCAGGACAGTGATGGAAACATCCTTCCTGCTGAGGATCCTCAGGTCTCAGAGAGAGGAGGCCGCTATGACGTTAGCATCCAAACCACTGTGAACAAGCCTTCAAACAACCGCTTCCACTGCGTCGCCACACAGCAGCTGATCGGACACAGGGTTAAAGCCAACATCACCGTGTCAGGTGAGACTAGACAAGACTTTGATGTGAATATCATCTGAGATGTTCATCTGGTGGAATTTAAAGGTTCATAGACTTTAGGAGGGTCACCTTGATCTTTTTGAAGGGACACAACTTCTAAACTAAAGCAGGACATCAACAGAGAAATATCTGAGTCTAGCTTTCCCTCTCTGTCCCAAAGAGGACATATTGTGTCTCTACTTTAAAGAGTCCTCTCCTGCTGATGTTCAGGTTTATATCAGTATGTAGTGTCTCTACTTTAAAGAGTCCTCTCCTGCTGATGTTCAGGTGTATATCAGTATGTAGTGTCTACATACATGATATACAAATATTTTCTCACATTTGTTTTTGTGTTTCAGAGAAACTCTTCGAGGAAACGTTCAGCAAAGCGGAAATGAATGCACGGTTCTCTGGTGGAATTATTTGGGGAGTTGTTCTTACTCTGCTGCAGTTTTTGCTCTTGCTGTAGTTCTAGCTCTGCTTGCAGCTATAATGTTGATCATAAAGCGCTGTTAAAAAGGTAAGTTCTACAAGAGACTGATCAACCTTTCCATATAGTGCACATATCAACAAAACAGTAACCCTCTCATGACAAAAAAACATCTTAGTTTTCACAAGAAAAATAGTTTTTGCTCATCTTAAAATGTGTACCATCATTTTTGTTCTTATTAGTAAAACATACATTTGCGTTCTTTAAATAATAAAATAATTATTAAACAACATATTTGTTATATAGCATGATGCTGGACATTATCTATCATATTTGTTTGTAACTAGCATTGAAAAGTAACTTAAACTCTTAATGATGTATAATTATATGTTTTTGTGTTTGCTGCAGGTTCGGCTGGCTCAGCTCCAGTATAGTTTGTTGGGACTTCTCCAAAGTCAATGGCTCAGCCTACCAGTATGCCTAATTTTGCAAAACTTGAAAATCTACTTTCAAAAACAACAGCTCTCTTTTTTCCTCAACACCTCTGCCTTCACTGGGAGCACAGCAGCTGTAGTTCTCTTATTCCTAATGGTAGAGGAAGCAAGCACCTTTCCACATGTAGCTAGATTAGCACCAACAGCTACACAAAGCCTGCTGCTAACTATTTTAAAGAGGTCCTATTTTTATTTGTGGGGTTTTTCCCTCTCCTATAGTGTGTTCTATAGCATATCAATTCTGCAAAGGCTAAAATCCCTGTATAAAAATCTGCATAATCTAAATAATAAAATAAAAAAAATAAAACATTTAATTAATTTTTTTAAAGTTAGCCTATCATCCATCCTTACTATGGCATTTGCCACTTGATTGACGTACAGGTAAGCCAGTCTGAGTTGTATTGTGCCATACGGGTTCATGCAGTTATGAGGGGGCCTCACCTCCTCATCTGAAGCGCAAATGCGGCGCACTATAATACACTTATGCGGCGCAATTAGTGTAAGCTAACGACACAGATTGGGCAGGGTCGGCCCTGTAGGTAGATCATTTGGGCTTGGTCATTTTAAAAGTAGCTCCCAAGCTGAACAAGTGTGGGCACCCCTGACTTAGACAGTGAGAGGGAGGGGCATGATCGGGTTTTGTCCTTTATATATACAGTCTATGGCTTTGTCCCACGTGGCTCAAAACGTCTCAATAGGCACACACTGTAGACACTAATTAGAAGAACACAGACTAAAACAGCAATATACAGACAAATCAGATGATCAAACATGATCTTAAAATATATTTTATATATTTATTTATTTGCATTTCTTTGCATTTTTTTGTAATCATTATTTGTAATACTTTCTGCTGACACTAGGTGGGGCTGTGCCCCACCTGCCCCTAATGACCAGTCACCACTGGATGTTGCCTGTATGTATTAAGTGTGTTGTTACCGTCTATGGTTGTTACCATAGACTGTATGGTTGTTACCATAGACTGTATGGTTGTTACGTGTGGAAATATGTATTTTTATTTGAAACTGCATAAGCGTCAGCTTTAACAAGGACTCCCTGCATGGTGTGATCAAAATGAAGGAACATTCAAAACCAAATGTTCAGTTTGTGCCTCTGGTCAGCAGAGGTTGTTTTAATAAAGAAAGCCACGGTGTGTAGAGCATCCATCCATTTGGGCATCCATTTGGGCTTTAACTTGTGTATTTGTATTTATCTCTCTGAAGTTCTTTAGTCCAACAATAAAACAGGCTGGACATAACTCTTCACAACTTGCACTTACTGCTGATTGCCTTTATATCTAGTTAGAAAAAAAACTATTGTTACAACTTTGCACACTTGTCTAGTGTACACTAACGGCCCGTCCACACGGCGGCGTGCGTTGAAGGTTTTGACTTATTCCTTTACATTCCGATACTCACTTTTATCTTGTGGCTTTTTCTTAAGTAATAGCATTTTTTTGTAACTATTAGATCTTATTCATGTTTTAAGTTCTGGGTCTTCATTTTTTTTTTTAAAGACCTTGCAACTTTGTTTTGAAATGTGTTATAAAAGCAAGGGATGTTATGTGTATAAGTTTAACAAGCACCTTCTAAGTACTTACTACTGTAAGGGTATTACTTTACTGTATATAGTTTCAATATATTTTGATGCATATTATCTATTTTTTCTCTTTTAGTGAACAAAATGATTGTATTCTCTACTAAATCTATACAATATATATTCTCATTCTTGAGTCACATAATGTAATCAGTAGTATACGTTTTACGAATATGATACTTGAAGTGTTTGGCCAAATAAAATAATGTTGCTTTGTCACAAAACTTATCCTGTACTAATCTGAAGCCCAGAGAGGTAGCCAGACCATTTCAAGTAATACATTTAACTAACTACTCCCAGGTCGTTTTTTGAGGATTTGTATGACAAAATCAAAATCACAAAAGATATGCACTTCATTTTCGTTCACTTTAATATTGGCAACCTCTAACACAACCCTGCAAAAAAAAAAAAACTGCATTGAAGGACAGAAAAGGTGAAAAGTATGCTCAGAAAACGTAGTCGTTACATTTGTATATTTTTACCAACGTATGTTTTAAATACACTTCACACTTCAGGAGCCAACATCAAAAGTTGACATCACATTGGGCATGATCAATAATGTAATGTAGGTAAGTGCAAATACACCTTTAGTCAAGTTTTGAGAGCTGTGGGAAGTTGTGGCATTGTGACAATCTCCACCACGCTGGGCAAAAAGAAATCTTAGAAACTTAAGAAAACAAAAGTTAAAAACACACAAAGGAATGCGTCTACGCAATTAAGAGCCATGGCTAAAAACCAAAATTATTTATATGTTTAAACAGACTGCAGACGTGAAAAATCTGTAATGCAAGATACATTTTTAGTAACATCAAGCTGTACATTCCTCAGACACTCTTCATCATGTGTTTGAATGATGTATGAAGGAACATTTAATCACACTAAGCGATGGTTCAAACCTAACATGGTACACTCTGCTCAGACAATTCAGTTTACCACTTCTGAGTAAACAATGAAACAGAAAGGAGAAAAAAAAAAGCATAAGTGCATCACCTCCATTAGATTCTCTATCAATATAACCAGTTAATATCACAGTTACTTTACAATTTAATATATTTACACAGACATATTTGCAACATTACGTTTTGTGATCTTCATTTTCAGTGTTCTCCTTTTAAGTACACTTGAATATAAATGAAATTCAGATTTTTCATCAGCCACACAATCCTTCCACTCATGTGACAAACAACGGAGACGAGTACGATGACAGAATTCAGTTTTTGCAATTTCAGCGAACTCACACATTTCATTTTGTGCCAAATGTATATGCAGTGAGGCACTCTTATTGCTGTCTGTTAAAGAAAACTACACTCGCAACACACGACGACTATAATAACCCACATCAAGATTAAAGCTATGATCAATACATTTGAAGGAAACCAGGAAGACAAAAACACTTTTCCCTTCACTTCACTATTCATCAAGCCAGTATAAATCTGCACAGCTCTGCTTACATTAATCTCAACTGTTCATTTGTTGAGACTCAGCATTCATTTAGAAAGCAAAGTTTAAACGGTTACTCTAAGCATTAGTGAGAGCACAAACTTTAGTATGAAAATAAGTGTAGTGTGAGTGTGTGAGAATCAAAATAGATTTTATCTTACACATAAGGATTAGAGTCAATCTCAAACTCAAGGTGATTCAATCTTACAAGGCTTTTACTCTGAGTAATGTGGTCAACAACTAAACTATTTTAAAAGTAACTTAGCATTCTGTTTTGGGTTTAGCATGCCCCCTTCACAAATTGTAAAACTGCCCATGTTAAATGTAAGGGGGAACGAGATGTTGCGTCGCAGTTTAAGGGAGATTTTCTTTTCTTTTACAGGCTTTAGGGGATCTACAGGACAAAATAATAGTACATTCTGTGTAAAAGTTAAACAACTTCTGGTGGAATGAACACTATATAATAGGAACAAGATAAATGTATAGGATAACGAAGGGACTGTACTTATAATCTTTAAAATAAATTGGTGAAGTAGAAAGATGACAACAAAAGACAAGGTCCTATATGTTTTTCCCCATTGTGCCATTGGTATTTTTATGCTTCATATTTTCATTGGTACTTAACATAGTTTTCATTAAGGTATCACATTGAACAAAGAAAATATATTCTATTAAGGTTAATGTGCTACTCACAGAAAGGTAGTTATTCTTCCTAAATAAAAAATAAATAGAAAAAAACTTTAATTTGTATTCTTGTATAGTGAAAAAAGGTTTTAAAAAATCATATATATGTAATGACCCACTACTGTTATTAAGATAACAAAACCAGCCTTAACCGAGCCAAAATTTATCACAACGAACTACTTTCACATTTCTTCACCATGTGTTTTAGAGTGGGTTTGAGGGATATCAGGATAAAGGAAATCACAAACAAGTTTTGAAACTGACTAGCTGAGGGCAACAAAAAAAGGCTAATGTGTCAGGTTGTTTCACTTTTTGGAATTAGGTATCATTGCAAATTAATATAAATTGAAAGGCTAACTCTGCATCATGTCTTGGTGTTTGTGAGACTTCTCTTTTTAACAACATTTCTCACTTTTGCCTGTGCCACTCAAGCCCATGCATCTATGCATTTGGTTTGGGCTGAAACTGCTATGCTCAATATTTACTGTGTGAACTATTAAAACATTGGGTATGAATACACTTGACTCAAGGTGGTGCTGTGCTGGGGAAGTTGCAATACATGAATTGCAATAGTAGTCAGAATAAGGAGTGTAGAACATTAACAAGCACATGAATAACATGCTAGGGAGTAGCTCTTTCTTCCTGAGCAAACCTTGTATAGATCTCATCTGGATGATTTATGCCTTTGAAGAAAAGGCTTTTTAAAGAAAATGCACAATAACACGAACCAGAATAACCTGCTTCCAAAAGCAACTCAAAGGCTGTACCAAAGAACCATGGACTGAGAACAATCACCAGACCAACCAAGATAAACATTGTGTGTTAGAGAGGCAGTGAGGGAAATCTGAACACTAATCATCTGCAATGTGACAACAATGCCACAAAGTGCATTGTATCTACGTTGAGGGGGAAGATGCTCTTAACCCTGAGCAAATCACTTCTGGAAAAGGTGATCAGTTGAAGCTACAGACATTGAAGATTGGTTAATGTCAGGCTTGATTCTCCTGATGCTGAAGGTTGGTTCTCCACAGAGGAAGACCGGCCGGATCAGAAGATTTCGGGGCACATGTCCCAGCTGCCTTGTTCCTTGGCCTCCCAGTAACCGCCCTTGTAGACATGCAGGGTCTCTCCGGAGGCGGGGTCGTCAAACTTATCAAACCACATGGCTTGGTAGTTGTCTGGATGGGCGCCTTAAAAGGAAAGGAAAACAAACATTTAAAAAAGAAGCTTTAAAAAGGAACCTGAGGGGAGGGTGAAGAAGCCACTGAGCCATGACAAAACATCATGCTTAAATCAAGCCGACATGCTCTCAGATAGCTGATGAAGAGATATTTAATGTTTCAATTTCACCTGGCCTTCCGCAGTGTTCATTTCTTAAACAAAAACTATGACCAAAATGTTTTCCATGACTAAAACAAGTAGTTGACAAGATGGCACAGGTGTCATTAAACACTAAAATGTAACTGTCTCACCATACAATACTGTTGACGAAAAAGACAATGTAGTTGGGTTAAAAACTGCTCCTAAATCTGAATTTGTGTCGACAAAAAAAGAGCCGTTTTATTATTTTCTACAATGAAGCAGTTCCCTTTCATGTGGTGTTTGTGGTGAGCAGTCAGGAGGACTCGCAGTAACTTACCAACGTTTAAGTAAAAGATGACAACAACAGAACTTGGCAGAAAGATCAAGGCTATATTTCTGCTATACAACGTGAACTGAAATACCCCTAAAGCTACTGTATGTTAAAATAGTTATGTTCCTTTTTTAAGATCAGAAGAATAAAATGCCAACACTTTTAGTCCCCCATAATCTGAACAAAAGGATGAGGTTGACTAAATATGATCAAAACTAACAAGGACATTTGACACAGGACCAAGACAAAAAAAAACTGCTGAAAGAATTAACCCCATTCTTTAGATGCACCGTATTCGTAATGACAAACAAATGCTCCCCTAAAACATTCAAGTACCAGGTTTGTGGCAACTCTACAGTGAGCTACAGTCTAAAGGGTTTTCTAAAAACTACCATCACAAATCTAAAAACTAACAAAACAAAAACAGGATGATGGAGAGCTAGACGGATGTTACTTGCTTTGGACTTGAGCTCCATAAGCATTATGATCTTTATTGCCTTCCACTAAGAGACACCAAGTTGCAAAGGGCGTAAAGGGTAAATGGGAAATGGAGAGGATCTAAATCTAGATTATACAAAATACTAGAAAATTGGAAATATTACTTCATGTCATAAGAATACTTGCTTTGAAAAGGAACATGTGATGGTCCATAAGGGGCTGAAAATAGAAGAATTAGGGATGAATCTTTGAGAGTTAGGAAATAAAGAATGGCTATGATCTGAAGATGACTGATACAAAGAGACAGCCAATGAAATGTAAGAGGCTACTTGCATGCAACAGGTGTGAGAGGGGGAGAGTCCTCTGTGTCAGCTTTACACCAGCACAACAAAAAAAGATTTTAATCCACAACTGAAACAGCTTTCAAAATACACACACATTTTGTTTTTATGTCCGTTTTAGAAGTCCTGTGTAGCAATTTAACAAACTTGCTGGAACAAATGCAAATGTCCCCTCTGTGGGACGAATAGCCAGATATTCTAGTAGTGAACAAAAGACCATAGGCCAGACAATATTTGACCTCTAACCCATACATCACTTCCTATCATAAAAAGAGACCTTTTTGCTTAAACATTTCAAGATGTCTTTTTACCATCTTTGCACTAAAATGCCCTCTTCCCATCCGTGCTAGACTTTTTATTTGTTATTTGGCCAACAGAAGAGTGGGGGATTTCCCTTAAAAACCTAATTGGTGGCATTGTGAAGGCTGATATTAGATCACATTTTAACAGTGCTGGTCTAAATTGATTATGTGAATCATTTGAATTGACAAATAGTAACAATGTAGTGATGTCAAATTGGATTAGAGTATTGTAAGGCCTCTCTCAGCCTGTCCCTAGTAGATCTGTCTACCATGAACATATTGAAAGTGCATAAGGAGGGAATCTTGAGTCTTTTTTCAAGAGACGTGGGACAAAAAAGTGACTCCTGCACAATCATCAGCCCTTGTTTGAGTAACCGTCAACTCATTAGTATTGACAAAAAAAAACATCAATTTTTGTCATTGCTGTTCAAATGCTACACAAAGCACGTCTAAAAGTACATATTATGGTAAGCTGTAAAATGATACTTGCTTTCATCTGAAACCTCACTAGCTTCTGTGCCAGTCTCCACTCCATCAGCTAAATGGAACAGACATGGATGAAGGGATGGTGAAAGTGTTAAAAAGAAGATGTTGACGACATTTAGCATCTTTTGATGACACACAAACATATTGTACATGTGTTTATTTATTATTTATGTGCATCTAGAGTTCATGAACAGTGTAGATCTAGGGTTAGGACTAAGAGAAGAGTACTTGCTTTTTAAGGGTGAATCATTGATTGAATCCTCAGTGACAGCTTAGGGTTGAGACAGAGACAGACAGACAAGGTATTTCAAGACAGACAAAGTGGGAAAAGATGAATGGAAAGTGAAACATTGGAAAGAAACATGAGGCAAATAGATAAAAAACAAAGCGTATTCCCATCTTCTATTTGTTTACCTTCCTCAGGTGTGCTAGCTGCTTTAACAGCCTCCCTCTCTCTTTCTCTGCGTACAATGCGCTGTTTCTCTTCTAGCTTCTGCTTCTCTGCGTTAGCCTCATCCCAGCGGCCGTCCTCCATCATTTTCTGGTCAGGGCGCCGCCGACTGTCTGTCGGAGCCACTCCCTCTTCAGACTCATTGAGCGTCAAGGCCAGTGAGGAGAAGAAGTACATGTTCTCCGCTCCCTCTCTGTAAAGTCATCAACATGAAAGTTAAGAAGCACCAAGACGCAACAATTTACAAGCTCCATTAGTTAAAAAGCATTTTCAACTCTCTCAATACTACCAGAACTCACGGTAAAGGGTTCTTCTTCCAGATTTCTTTGGCTTTGAGGGTCTGATAGACAGTCCTCTGTTTGCCTTCAGTGCCGTTCTCGCCTTTACTGCTCTGCATGATCCTGGAGAACTCCATCTTCTCATCCCAGGTTCCTGATAGCACGTAATGCGCCTTCCCATCCTTATCCGTCACTACTCCTGTTACCTGAGAGACAAAGTCAGATTTAATAAAGAATGCTAACGGTAGGCAGGGCCAACAGTAGGCAGTGCAGGGAGACACAATTAAAACGACAGCTCTGCAATTCATTCATTCATTTATTACTGACAACTAAAGCTAAAAGGAGGTGTTGAGCTGGACTACATAATACTGGCTCTTTAGAGCTATATAATACAAGAAAACAGTGTGTACAAACACTCACCTTTCTTGGTACATCTCTGGAGAAGTAACTGTAGGGAGCAAACTTGAGGTGGCAGCGATCTCCTGTCTTGTGGTTCACCACGTCGATCTCCCCTGACTAGAAGAGACATTGTTGAGAAGTTACAGATAAACCCAATAGAAGAACAAGCAACATGTTCTATAAAAGACATCTATGGTATTTATTAATGAGTATTTGTGGTGTTATGGTTTAGTCAGTTTTAAATGTACCTGGTCAATCCATAGTTTTCCAACAATGATATTGTGTACTGTTGTAGTGACTTTCTTCCAAGAGTAGTGATTCTCACTTTTGTCAAATAAACACTGGATAGAACCTGGGGAAAATAAGAGAAAGAGCAATGTTAGGCCTGGTAACCTTCATGTGTAACCTGCTAACCAATATATCAATATCATATTTCACTCCACGCACTCACCCAAAGGCATGATGGAGAGATATTTCCCTCTGAACTTGCTGGCCAGGGTGATTTCTTGTCTGAGGGTCCAGCCCTTTTCAGAGAGGGCATGGTGAGCTGCAGCAGGCGGGTGGTGACTCACCTGAGAGAGGAGAGCGAGGAGAAGAGAGACAGCAAAGTCAAATCCAAATAATGCAACGGATTAAGACTATTCACGCTATTTAACAACCATGCATTAACATCCTTCAAGCGTGTTTATTTTTCCAGTGTGTTTTGGACCTACCTGCTCACAGAGGGAGCGGTAGCCACAATCTTTGAGCCGATCGAGCTCAAAGGTTTCTCCCAGCAGAGGATTGAAGGGTTTTCCTGTGCGGTGGACAGTGGTGGAGTAAGAGGAGACTGTGAAAGCGGCCACATAACACATCTGCTCCAGAGAGCTCTGACATTTAGCAGCCTTATCCAGCAGCTCGTAGTACTCCAGGTCTTCAGAGAGACGTTGCAGCATTGAGAGAGGCTCGTTGAAATTCACCTACAAAGTCACAGAGGGAAGAAGTCAGGTTACTTCTGATTCCTCTCACAGGGGAACACCAACTAGAGTACATGTTTCTTACAGGCATCGGTATCTTCGAGAGCTCCTTTCCAATGCAGTTCTTCATGATGCTCCACAGATTGAGGTAATAGTTGGGCTTGTCCGGGATACGAGTCCGCCTCTGTCTAACTGGCTCCAGCTCAAGGGTCTGTGGAGACTCTGGGTTGGATGCCAAGGACAGTTCATCAAACTGGAAGAAGAGAAAGATTAACGGTCAAGACTTGGCGTGGGGTGTTGACAAGAAGTGGATAAGACAAGTCATTACAAATCAGAACTTGCAATAAAAACAAAGTTAACACACATTAACTGACTGATCGTCCATTCCAGTCTCACAGCTGAACCCACTAACGTTGCTGCCGGATCTCCTGGCGGACAGAAGAACATACATTTAGAAGCAGTCCAAAAGAACGGAGCATAATAACAAACACATTAATTAAAGTGAGAGACATTAGGAAAAGACAGACAGGTAACCACCTGTGATACTTGGGGTCAGCGGGGACAGTAATAAACTCTGCTGGGTCTTCCATGGCATCAAAGAACTCATTGTCATCATCCTCGTCACTGGCATCACCTTTTCCGGAGACACCCCCTGTGGTAAAGCCAGGCAGTGGAAGAATAAATGACTAGGGATACTCACTCTCTGCCGATCGATCGGTGCTCTCTAAAAATGCCGATCGCGAGAGCCGATCGCATGACGTAAAATACATGACACTTTTCTCTGTGCGCGTCAAAACAAGCTCGCCAAAATGGCTTCACTAGTTGGGCAGTATTTTAAGGTGTCCGAAAAAGACAATAAAATAGTGGATTGCAACGTGTGTGAAGCAGAAATCCTGCAGCTCCACCCGCTGTGACGGACCGGTGAGCGGATCGGTATCGGCCGATACTGATTCCGGCGATCGGCCCCAAAATTGGTGATCGGAGCATCCCTATAAATGACTAAATGGCTCCATTTGCCTCAGGTATGATACACAGCAGGTTAACTGTGATTAGCATCAAAGATAGACGTTCAAATTGTAGATTTTAGCCTTACCTTTGTTACCTAAGGCTGGATTGCTGAACGAAGAGGGGAGAACTGTAGCTCCTCTGAAAGCCCTTTCCAGGTGATTGTGTTGTTTGGCCAGCTGCTCCAGAGTCTCCTCCAGACGTATCCTCTGGTCTCTTTCGCTGTGTAAGGCCTTCTGCCAGCGCTTACTGTGGCTCTGGGCCAGGGAGAGGAAGTCTCTACATGCCTTGGGGAACATGAGGGACATTTCAGCAAAGGAGACAATGTTGTGTGTTCAGAAGCAAATGAACACTTGGGTGACTTACATTAATCATGGCATTAGAGGTGATTCTGAACAGCGTGGCTCTCTCTGTTACTTGTTTCATTTTGTCTCCCACGTCCCCGCTGACACGAAGCGCCTCCAGTTCTGACAAAGACCTGCGTGTGTGGAATAAAGAAATTAATAAAGGAAATAAATTAAAGATCATTGTATTTAATACAAAGTAATCACTTCTGCTCCGTCTGATAGTTGATACCTTTGTAGAGCAGACCCATGCTTCACAATGAGGTCATTGCAGGTGTTGAGGTCCTCCACCTTGCTGCCCAGTGTGCGTAGTGTTGATTGGATTTCTAAGTTACGGCAGCCTCCACCCTGTCCTGAGGAGGGGGGCGCTGCAGGACATTCGTCACCCGAGTCATCTGACGGAGAGAATGGGGAGGATAATATGACACAAAAAATAATGATAAGAAAATACTTTCCCTATAAAAAATATAAGCATTTTAGCTTGACTTAAATGTTGCTGTACATTTGTATGTGTTGTTATTTAATGTCTCCTGCAGTCTCCAACAGATTTGTTTTCCTCTCACCAGATTCAGCCTGCATGTGGACGGCCTTTGCTTTGGCGAGCTCCAGAGCCGTGATCCATCGCTGCCTCTCTACTTCTGAGCTGGCCTTCAAGTGGTAGGTCTGTGCACCTCCGTTAGAAATGACAAAATTGCACGAGTCTTCCACGGCAATATTGGCTGTGGCCAAGTTGATGGTGCCTCGGCACGTGTGACCCATCTCTGCCTGGCTCCTGGAGACAAACAGAACAAAGAAAGGTTAAATACGGAGGTTCTAAATCCCTGTTTTGTACAATAAAAAAAAATAATGTGTTCTTCTGATGCAATTTTACATGTCCTTCAAATTGTGCAAACAGAGTTCTGGGAGCTATTAAGAGTGCAATTCAAATTTTTGTGATCTTTAAAAGTTAGAAGAAAATAATATTGTGTTACTGCCGGAAAACATGGTTGTATAAATGTAATATATATTCCCCAACTTAACACAGCCCTTTCTCAGGTACCACCTTGGCTTCCTTTTGAGCCATGGAAAACCCATCCAGGGAAAACCCTTTAATTTCAAGACATATAATTACAAAATAAGCATGGAGTGTAACTTACCTGTAGTAGGACAGCAGTCCATTGCTCAGAACAAACCAGCGTCTCTGGTAACCTTTAATGTAGTTAGTCCATTTAAAGAGCCAACCCTTGTACGTGTCTCCAGGGGTTGGAGTAGGGGGCTTTGGCTCCGACATCACGACAGCCTGTGCTTTAACTGGGTGAAGTTATAGCCTGTTAAAGAAAAGAAAAAAAACGTATCAAGATTTGCATTGATATTGATATTAATCATTTGGTGGGCATGATGAGGCTCAGTATGCTCAATGCAAATCTGAAATGTATGAATGAACAGTTTGATGAAAGCTACAGACACTGTCATCACCTCAGTAAATAGTTTATTAATTTTAACAACTTTAGATTTGTAAGTTAAATATGTCTTTCTACCATGACACTAATTTTCTTATTATTAGATGCATAATAAGTATGGATGTTTTGATAAATACATACACATAAGTATACAGTATAAAGAAATGCACATAATCATACAGTCAATCTTTACACATTTGTATTGTTTTCGTAGACGTTTTTTCAATTTAATTGTGGTAATTTGTGCTTTTAATATATTTATCTTAATTATATTTATAAATGCAACTATTATTTTCCATAGGCTACTTTCGAAGGCTATGATTTACCTTTATAGTGCAGCCTTGTTGTTGTACCGTACGGCTATTTCTGTGCACGTAAATTAAGAGCGTTACAAAAAACGAAAACGGAATCAAATTCCATGAATGTGTCCACAATACGTGGCCAATAAGGTGGTTCTGGTTTTTGTCAATGTTACAAGAGCTATGGACGTTAGGTAAATCCATGGAAGTCACCAATTTATAAATCGGAAATAGCATACTGAGCCAATAATCTATAAATACGCTACGATAGTTCGCTTATTGTCGTAAACCTGAAATCTGGAAATTACAACACATCACAAACGCCTCAGTGCTGACATGACTCCCAATAAACTGTTTAGCTAACATTTAATGGCACTGCGTTGAACCGACATCTCTCAAAGACTGAGAGCAGCCGACACCAGTCGTGTTAACACTCCGGTTATTTAAAGAATTACTAACAGATAAACACAGCCGGGACAGTGAGGCACTTCGAGATAAGTCATTTGCGAACACCAAAGCTACTTAAACAGTGTCCGTCACTAAGCTCGCTGCTAGCTACACAACAGGAAGCTGTCAAACAGCCTGACAGACGATGCTAACGATCAATCCCCTCATCTCCGTCCTATATCTACGTAACATTAAGACATATTATTACATGACACTCACTCTTACCGTACGAGACTTCAGCTGTTAACGGCCTGCATGTCGTGTTGGATGAAGCGATGTTAGCTCGCCTGTGTTAGCTTTGCTAACTACTTTCATGGATGTATTAAGGAGAGCAGCTACTTTGCTACAGGTTATTCATCTTCCTCTTCTTTCGATTTAATGGCAGCTTGCATCCTGAATGTTGCACTACTGCCCTCTTCTGGTGTCAGATACCTCCTACAGTGTCCAGTTTCTCAGATATTTTATCATCAGTGCTGTTCTTATTTGGAGGCTGACCAAGCATCTTCTTACTTTTCAACTTTCTACACTCCATTATCTGAACCTCTGCTCAGTGGTCGAAGAAGTCTTCATTTATCAAGCAATACCACAGTCTAAAATATGTTATAACTAAAAGCCCTGCAATAGAATGTGTACTTAAATAAAGATAATGTACTTGTAATATTCCACTTCTGCCTCTGCTTTACCCAAATATTGTACTTTTTCCATGATGTCTTTCTCTCCTATACGTACTTCACAAAGTGTTCACAATCATCAGTTAGAAGCTACCCATACTGTGAAAGTGTGCTTTTCATCAAATCTCACAATACCAATGTATTTACTCCAGTTATAAAGTTATTCAGTGTCCCAGTTAGTACTTACATACTTTAACATAAGAAAGGTCTTTCAAAATGCAGGACTTGGACATGTATACGAGTACTTTTAGCGAGGTATTAGTACTTTTGCCTAAATGAATAAATAAAGTGCATACCTCTTCCACTACTTCTGTTGATTAATTTTCTCCTCTGAATTAAAAAAGGTATAATAAAAATGTTAACTTGTTTTTTAAACACCCATTTGACTGTCTTAAATTACCGTTTCATTTTTATTGACCAACTACTCCTGAAATGGTGAACAAGAGTTTAATTTAATCAACGAACACGGTCTTCTGCCTTTGCAAGGCTTCCCGTTGTACTCACCCCATTTGACAGTCAAGAGTACAATTGTGTGGAATACATATTCATATTGTGCAGTTATATTCTCTAATTTGCAAATCAAAAAGGCCAACTATTATATTATTGAATGTAAATTCAAAACCATATCAATGGTGCATACTATTAATATGACAGGGGAGATGTTAATATTCAGTTTTAAAAGTATTCGCAACGTGCAATTATTTAGTTCACATTTTATTAAAAAAAAATTACAGAATTGAATTTGCCATCTACTTTTGCTACCAATAAAAACAAAAATGCATTTTAAACCTTTTGATAAACATATATTGCCTTGTTCATTACTAATGAACCCATTATAATACTCATTCCACAAAATATGCAAAAGCTGTCATTAACCTAAACAAAAGCATTTAAAAGTGTTACATACAAAAAGTAGGTTCTCATCATAAGATAATTCCTCTGAGTTACTCTTTACCCTTGCAAGTTAGCAACAAAGAAAACAATTAAACATCGATCTAAATTTGCCTTAATTTTATTGGACAAATCTTTACTACAACACTACAGATTGTATGAAGTAGGCATGAAATAGGAGCAGTTACTTTACTTAAAACATCGTATGTGTATGTCCATGTATGTGTCAGTGTGTGTTTGCGTTAAACATAATTCGCTCTTCCCCCAGACTCATTTGGTGATGTTATTTGCATTCATACTTTTCCCACTCCCACTAAGCACAAGGTAAGGGGTTTTCTGAGATTTCTGCTTCTCCTGAAGCAACGCCACCGTCCCCAGAGGAGTGTCACTGCTGCTCATCTTCTTCAGCAGGGCTTCTTCCTCCAGCTTTTTCATCCTCCTCTCGGTCTTCATTTTTCCAGACCCTTTCCCGTGGAATCGATGTGAAAGCTGCCTGAAAGCTTCTTTTGGAGTGAGTCTCCGCCCAGATTCATCCACATACTCAATCTTGACCTCAGGCTGATAGGCGTCTTTATCCTTGAAATCTTGAGTGAAGCCTCTGTATTCTTCTCTGCGACTGTATTTGTCATCAAAGCCCACCTTATCCTCAATGCAGTAGTTGTCATTTGGCAAGGCGCCTTTTGTGGCTCTGACACGGGACATCTTCTGCATTTCAGTGTCCAATAGACCTTTGTTTTTGCACAGGTGCAACGCAGCAGCAAGCCCCGAGCTGACAATGGGCTCCTCATCCAAAATGGTGGCAGAGGCAGTGGAGAAGTCTGGCGCTTTCTGCTCCTCATCCAAATTTACTGTGCTCCATCCAATATTCTCATCCATGTCCGAGTCTGGATCTCCAGCATCATCTTTCTCTTCCTTCTCCTCAAAGTCAATAATTTCCTCTTGGTCTTCTCTATTGCCCGAGAGCCCATACGTTGGAATATCACCCAGTGTTCTGCAAAACTCTGAGATGTCGTTGAAAACAATGTTATTCTTCATCTCAGGATCGTCGTCAGGACTGGCTTTATCAAGCTCTTTAATCTTCTCAGCCACCTTCTCCCCAGAGTCTTTGAGAAGCTGCTTTTGCCTCAGCTTCCTCCCTTTCTCCAGTTGTTTCTGCAGCTCCTGCTCGGCCTCATCCTCCTCAATTACAGCAGGCTCTGGAGGTGTAAAGTCATCCTCATCACTAATGTCCATTTCGGCCATTCTAACGTCATCAGACAAAAGGGGGATATCATGGGACAGTTTGACCAGCTCCACCGGCTTTACTTCCTCACTCCCTTCTTCCAGCTGTCTGCGGCCGCGACCACGGGCCCTGGAGCCAAAGTCAGTGCTGCGGGTGTCGACAGCAAGCTCGTCTGCAACTGTCAGCTTGTCCTTCTTCCTGATCTTTCTCACACGCTTTTTTGTCTTTTTAAAGCCCGTCATTTCCTGAAGTGTGTAATACTCCGAGGCAATAGAGAGAGCCGGCATCTCCAAAGACTGGGCCTGGTCTCGCAGAGCTTCTCTCATGGCCTGAATCTCCCGCTCTCGCTCCCCGTCAGCAAAGCCTCCTGTATTCAGCCGGAAACTCTTTTTCTTTTCACCCTCAATTTCCTCATCATACTTTGACAGTACAGTTTTGGGCTTGAACGCGACCATGTCATCCACACTCTCATCTTCTTCATAGGGCTTGTATTCAGGCTTCTTCTTTTTTAACTCCACATTCTTCTCTGCTCTTTCCCTGTCGATAAGATTAACATTTACAAGCACATCTTCCTCCTCTACGAGCACACCTTTGTCTTGTAGAGTCAGGATGATAGTCTGGCCCTCATTGAAGGAATCCACCTTGTGCTGCACTTTGAGTCCCTTTAGATCTTTAGCTGTGTAGGCATCTTTTTTGCCATGTGCAAACTCCTCCTCCACCAGACTGCTGACGCCAAACTCCTCATCCATCTCTTGCAGAACTTTGGCTCTTTTCTCCGCCATTTCTTTCTCTTTTGCCATCAGCCTGCTTCTCTCTACCCAGGCAGTGGTGTCATCCAGCCAGTCCTCCTCGGCTATGGTCTTGACTTTTCCCAGTTTCAGATTCTGGATGCGTTTTTCTTTCATAGCAGCAAGCTTCTCTCTCATATCTTTCTGCTTCTTGATGAGAACAGGGTTGATGGTCTCTGCCACCTTAGGATCTTCTTTGGTGCCGAGCTCCTTCTTTTCCACCTCTAATTCCAGAGGCTTCAACCCCAGCTTGGCTCTGAGTTTGTTTGTCTCCTCGATGCTGAGAGACGCATCTCCGCTTGCAGACTGAGGTGCAATTTCTGCCTTGCTTCCTTCATACCCAAGATCAACTTTCTCCTTCTTCACCCGTGGCTCCCCGGTGCTCCTCTCACCTTTGCTACGGCCCTCTCTCCCGCTTCTTTCCCGGGACCTGGAGCGTTTTCGTTTATCTTTATCTTTATCCCTTGTCCCATCTCGGTCTGTAGCGTCTCGGTCCTTATGACGATGTTTCTTATGTTCACGACGGCGTTCTTCTGTATCCTTGTCGCGGCTCTTCTCCTTGTGTTTCTTGGATGACCCCATTATTTCCTTCGAAGATTACAGCAGTTGTTAAAAACGAAGCTGTTGTGGAGAAAAAAAACGTGTTAGACGTTGCTCCTTCGATCACAAGCTCACATTAGCTTTGAATGCTAAGTGGCTAACCGACGACACAACTCACTCAGTACGGGTGAAAAAATAAAACCTCACGTTTAAAATCCGATATCAACCAACAAAGAGTAGGAATGTGGAAAAAATACCTAGCCAGCTGTGTCGTCTTCTTCACACCAGTTTAACTACTCCACACCACGGCCAGGCATACAACTTTATACATCGTCAAACAAACACCGACAGTGTTTCTGTTTCCGGAACTTCCTGTGGTGGAAGGCTAGCTACAAACTAATGTATACCGCCACCTGCTGTATGGGAGTGTTTATATCAGGCCAGGATCACATCCATGAGTTGATGTTGCTGCGTTTTGGGACCGATAAGACGTTGTTATTTATCAGTTGTCTTTAACAACAATGAGAGATCATCTGTAAAACCGTTACTGCAATATATGAAGTGCTTGGCACCGACATCTTCTTCTCTTTCTCTGTATGGTAATGGTGACATTCCTTATCCTACATTGTAAGCTAACTTAGCAAGCGCAGTTTTAAATAACATGACTAAAATGCCAGTATGTTTAACCTGCTGCGTTTGTCGTTAGCTAATGTTAGTGTAATTTAGTGTTGACAGTTTGCAAACATCTAGTTTGGAGCGATAACATAATTATCAGCTCGAAGTCTGGCTCTGCTACGCGAGCTAAGATGCTTGTTTGCTTCAACTTTTATCGAGACATTTAAAGTTAGCTCAGTTCTGCAGTGATGCTAGCTAGCATTAGCGAGGTACCTCAGCAAGCTTGGCAACTTTCGCTGCTCGTTAGCATAAGGTCTTGTGATTGTTTTGCCGACACATATAACGTGTTGTGGTGTTAAAGATTCGACACAACGTTAAGCAGCGGGTTAGCTGCTGCACATCGGGGTTATTGCGTGTTGCCATGGCGATTGTGAGACAGAAGTAGGTCACAAATGTTAAGCTAGTAAAGTTTCTCTCAATATAACAAGCTACGTACACTCCCACAGTCGTAACGTTTGGTTAAGCTAGGTTAACTGCAAGTGCTTGAATGGTGATTGATACACTTTCTGTAAGCTAACATTAGCTGGTGTCACTGTGGGGAGCAGTGACAGAGAGCTCGCGCTGCTTATTGTTTTTCCCCGGGAATTGGAGCGGGCCACATACAAAACCCACCAACGGCTGCTAACGGCAACGGACATCTCATAGAGATAGCTTCAAACAGTTAGTTAGCTATATGGTAATAGCTACACTAATGCGTCAAAGTATTGAGGTTTTCAAGCTGGTCATGATTTAAGAGTAAACATTAGCCAAAGTAAAGGCTGTTGGAAAGACATGACGCATGTGATGCTTTAATTTAACGTTAACAGTTTGGTTATTAAACCTTTCTGCGATATTAACTTAAGCGTTGACCGCAAAACCATCTTCTTACGTATGGTGAGTAACATTCATTTGTAGTCACTAATAGCCTTCTAGCGTTATTGTTGCCATTACAACATTTTAATTACAGTTAAATGTAAAATGTTCTGTTGTTTTTAGGCACCAACTTTAAGTTAACAGTGATCGATATGAACCAAAACCAGTCCGTCAGTTGGCTAATCATAAGTTAAGATTGTTTGACCCTCTTGTTCTGTGGTCCCATGCAGTGATCAGTATCTCTTTAGTTGTGAATTCCAGCAAGCTTTTTCCATGACGGTGAAATATCTTTCTCCTGCTATGTTTTTAATGTAGACTTGTATACCTCGCCTTTTGTTCTGTGTGTGGTGACCAATATACATTTTGGTGTGAATTCCAGCAAGCTTTAAGTGGGTGACATGGCAACAGGAGGCACTCCTTTTGATGACAGTGCAGAAGAGCTGCACGACTGGACTATAACCAATGGCAGTCTGGAAGATAGACTCAACAACCTGGTAAGACAGAACCTAAAATCAATGTTGCTCTATCTTGTTCCTATCATGGCTTATTAATGTAATCGTATGTATGATATGTGTGTTACACAAGATAATAATATGTCCTTATTAAAGTAAACATTTATAATAAATAGTGCTTTTTTTTTTGCTGTTCATCAGGACTGGGGTGTTCAGCAGAAGAAAGCAAACCGATCCTCAGAGAAAAACAAGAAGAAGCTGTCAGCTACGGTGGTGGAGAGCCGCCTGACTAATGACATTTCACCAGAATCCACCCCTGGGGCCGGTCGCAGGAGATCCCGCACCCCTCATTCCTTTCCCCACATCAAATACTCCACCCAGATGTCTGTCCCAGACCAGGCTGAGCTGGACAAGCTGCGTCAGAGAATCAATTTTACAGACCTGGATGAGGTGAAAAACGGCGGCACTTTATTATAAATCGTTTCTGGTTTTACATATGTCTCAGGCAAACATAAGCACGAAGACGCACATGAGAGGCACAAACACTGATGATTGTACAAAGCTTACCATTTCAAGATTTACTTTTATTATATTTTCAAGGACATGAAATACAATTCCTAATGCTTATCAGACTCTTCAACAAAAAAATGCATACTTCCTTCAGTGATAAAATGCCAAAGCATTGCCATGAGGCATCGGCAGGCAGTAAAGAAAAGCAAAATATATATTTTTAAACTCTAGCCTAGGGTTGGTTGGCTAAACTTCTTCTGCTGTGGATTTGAAGTTGGCAGAATGGCAGAACAGAAAAACATGTAAAATCCATAAGGCCATTTCATGGTGAACAAAGTTTAAAATAGTTGTGTTCTGAAAACAAAAATGATTATGAAACATTTCTAACGATTTATTAACAATAAAAAGAGGAGATCTTCATGAAAAAATACCCAACTGCTTGAGTAGTAAATTGTCTGAATTTGATCTTCTTTTGTTACTCAGAGGAGCATTGGCAGTGACTCCCAGGGGCGTGCCACAGCTGCCAACAACCAGAGGCAGCTGGCTGGAGAGAACAAGAAGCCCTACAACTTCCTACCTCTTCATGTGAACACTAACAAAAGCAAGAAGCTGCTCCACCCCTCCTCGTCTGCCCCAGCCACACCAGCTATCACCAAGGAAACCAAGAAGCAGGGCCCAGGACTCAGGGATACTTTAACCCCTTTGGTTCCCAGCAAGGAAGCTCAAAGGCTCACCCGTGGCAGTACAGAGAGGGGGCCCTTAGCGCACAGAGAGCATGGGAGAGGAGAGCCCAGAATAGACAGCAGCCAGGTAACATTGTGTTTGGTTGTTGCCATGGTTTTGTCAGCTCTTACTCTTGTTGTTCTGCAACTTGATGCCATGTATACTGAGGATTGAGCCAGACTATGAGGAGTTTGTCAATTCTGGTTACGATATGGTCCAGAGCTAAAGTATTTACTTAATAAGTGAGACATACTAGTGGTGTTTAAGGGGAAAGTCACAGTTATAGCTGGTTATAGCAAGTCATTCAATAAGTGTAAAGATATTTCACTATGAAACACAAGTGTAAACCGTTTGATGGTGTTAGATATAAATTAAGAGGATAAGTATTTATCAGTAAAGGGCCATATATATTCCTCCGTCGTTGGTAGAGAACAGAAACAGAGCTCAAAGAGCTTGATTACATTCTTACTTGCATTACTAGTTGGCCAGAAAAACAACTCAAAATGAAACACAACATTGCTCCTAATTTCTGCCTGTGTGAATCAGTATGCTAACACGTTTGCATTAATCAACTTAATATGTAATTTCAAGTCAGTGTTGACAACTACTGCTGCCCTCAGGTGGCCAGATATATCAGGTTTAAGACTAATAATCCTCCTTAGAAAGACATTATTTTCACATTTAAATGAAATTAAGCACTTTTCACGTGTAAATGTGGAAGTGTCTTGGTATCACTTCGCTTCTAGCTACTGTGTGAAACCAAAACTAGGATAAAAGTGAGGGAGATCTAGTGCAGCTGAAACTAGGCTGTATTTAGGGCAATTTATAAATATGCTACCCCTGGCGCCTAGTGAGATTTGTGCCCCACCCCTTTCTGCCCTTATTAAGCCTAGTCTGAGCTGTCGCTACAGATGCTGTCGCCTTTCCTTACGTATTCCTATGTCTCCTTTTCAATTACTTTTTGAAACCCACACCCATACGCCACCCTCCTCTCTCTCTCTGCTTGGTCTCAGGTGGTGAGCAAACTGGTACAGATCCGGGAGTACATCAGTAAGGCTAGCTCCATGCGGGACGACCTGGTGGAGAAGAACGATGTGCCGGCCAATGTGGAGCGTCTCTCCCATCTCATCGACCACCTCAAGGAGCAGGAAAAGTCATATTTACGGTTTCTGCAGAAAATGCTGGTAAGTCTGTCATTTGTTTATTTTTTAAAAATCTTTTTCAGAATTAATCTAGTTCTTGGCATTTCTAATGCTCGTAGACAAAGGTATACATTCGTTTGTGTGTGAAGCTTGTTTGTTTGCTTATTTATGGTTGAAATGGAACTGGTTTTCGTTTCAATCTTGGCAGCTTGGCACACATTTATTTTTAATTATGTTCATGTTTCATGTGATGATAAAATTAGGACATTCAGTAGCCTGCTACCTTCCATTGCAGCAGGTTGGCTTTCTTAATGGTTTGGTATCACTTTGCCTTCAATGGAGCGTTTCTGTGAAATATATTGTAGTATTTGCAGGCACTTAATTTTCTGTTTTGCAAAAGGGAAATCTAAATAACTGCAGGTGTTTTTCTCACCATATCTATAAATAAACGTTCTCATATATAGAACATTTAGAGGAGCTTATTAAGTTTTGAATAATTTACAGCTTTTAGGTTGATAGCTAAGAAATGTCAAACAATTGTTGGAAAAAGGGTGTACTGCATACTTTCCTTTTCAGTTATCATTAAGTCTCTTGCTGCTTTTTCCAATATGTCTGTAGACACGGGAGAATGATGAGGATGAGGTGGGGACCCTGGACTCCGCAGTGGGCTCAGGTTCACTTGCTGAGAGCACTTCTCTTAACATTGAGGTCCGATCCTCAGATGCTTCAAATGCAACGGTGTGTACCTTTGCATTAAACCTTTATAATTAAAAGGTAATTGCAATTTATGTAAAGAAAGCAATTTGTCTTTGATTTGCTTTTCTCGTTGTAAGTTAGATGTATTTGCTGTGTCAGTACCTGATAAGCCTCTTTTAACTTTTTCTGCTGAGTAGCATTCCAGCACTGTTTTGTTTTGTGCAGTGTTTGTAATGCTATCTGGATGGAACTATTGTAGGCTGGGCGCACAGAAATGGTGCGAGCTGACCAGAAGGAAGAGTTGGAG